CACCCTAACACCTAACACAGAGGAGAAAAACAAGTAGGAACACCCTAACACCTAACACACAGGAGAAAAACAAGTGTAGGAACACCCTAACACCCTAACACAGAGGAGAAAAACAAGTAGGAACACCCTAACACCTAACACACAGGAGAAAAACAAGTGTAGGAACACCCTAACACAGAGGAGAAAAACAAGTGTAGGAACACCCTAACACCTAACACAGAGGAGAAAAACAAGTGTAGGAACACCCTAACACCTAACACAGAGGAGAAAAACAAGTGTAGGAACACCCTAACACCTAACACAGAGGAGAAAAACAAGTAGGAACACCCTAACACCTAACACACAGGAGAAAAACAAGTGTAGGAACACCCTAACACCTAACACACAGGAGAAAAACAAGTGTAGGAACACCCTAACACCTAACACAGAGGAGAAAAACAAGTGTAGGAACACCCTAACACAGAGGAGAAAAACAAGTAGGAACACCTAAACCAGAGGAGAAAAACAAGTAGGAACACCCTAACACCTAACACACAGGAGAAAAACAAGTAGGAACACCCTAACACCTAACACACAGGAGAAAAACAAGTAGGAACACCCTAACACCTAACACAGAGGAGAAAAACAAGTGTAGGAACACCCTAACACCTAACACACAGGAGAAAAACAAGTGTAGGAACACCCTAACACAGAGGAGAAAAACAAGTAGGAACACCTAAACCAGAGGAGAAAAACAAGTAGGAACACCCTAACACCTAACACAGAGGAGAAAAACAAGTAGGAACACCCTAACACCTAACACAGAGGAGAAAAACAAGTGAAGGAACACCCTAACACAGAGGAGAAAAACATGTAGGAACACCCTAACACCTAACACAGAGGAGAAAAACAAGTAGGAACACCCTAACACCCTAACAAAGAGGAGAAAAACAAGTAGGAACACCCTAACACCTAACACAGAGGAGAAAAACAAGTGTAGGAACACCTAACACAGAGGAGAAAAACAAGTGTAGGAACACCTTAACACCTAACACACAGGAGAAAAACAAGTAGGAACACCCTAACACCTAACACAGAGGAGAAAAACAAGTAGGAACACCTTAACCATTCATTCAAATATTTCAGATTGGTATTTTATTTTAATGTTCTTTTAGAGATCGCTCCAAAGCTTGATGCTGTTTTCTAAACAGATTTAAAAATCATCATGAATTTCCGAAAAGCAACCAATATAAAAAAATTCCAATGCTTTATTCTCAGAGATGTAACTTTTCCACTTTTTTCCAAAAATCTGCTAATTCCAGCTGAGAAAAAACTTTGCTGGAAAATTCTGCAGAATAATAATCAAAAATTTTCCGCCAAACAAAAAACAATTTTTTTTTCAGCCAACTAACTTTTTATATAACATCTGAAATATTTTCAGCTAATCCATTTTTCTGTTTTGATACCCTTTTTTGAATGGTCATATCTTCCCTCTGCCTTTATGACTTTTTTGCTGGTTTACAGAAGAAGCGTAAGGGGATGTGTAGTAGTCATTCTACACCGCGTGTCAACTTACTTTGACCGTGTGTAATAGTTATTCTACACCGCGTGTCAACTTACTTTGGCCGTGTGAATGTGCTTTAGCTATCAGACTACCATCCTACACGGCGTGTCAACTTACTTTGGCCGTGTGAATGTGCTTTAGCTATCAGACTACCATCCTACACGGCGTGTCAACTTACTTTGGCCGTGTGAATGTGCTTTAGCTATCAGACTACCATCCTACACGGCGTGTCAACTTACTTTGGCCGTGTGAATGTGCTTTAGCTATCAGACTACCATCCTACACGGCGTGTCAACTTACTTTGGCCGTGTGAATGTGCTTTAGCTATCAGACTACCATCCTACACGGCGTGTCAACTTACTTTGGCCGTGTGAATGTGCTTTAGCTATCAGACTACCATCCTACACGGCGTGTCAACTTACTTTGGCCGTGTGAATGTGCTTTAGCTATCAGACTACCATCCTACACGGCGTGTCAACTTACTTTGGCCGTGTGAATGTGCTTTAGCTATCAGACTACCATCCTACCACAACTTACTTTGGCCGTGTGAATGTGCTTTAGCTATCAGACTACCATCCTACCAAAAGCAGAATTGTTTCGTTTTTTTTTTTTGTTGCAAAAAATCATGTCCTGTTCTGCCGTCTTGTTTTTGTCGAAGTTTGTCCAGTTATTGTTTTTTTTTAAATAATTAATAAAGAAAAGTAATACATTGAATTGAAAAAAAAAGCCAGGAAAAGCAATTATCTCCCTTTAGCACATGTTTCCGTTTACTTACAATATTTACAAGTATCGGGTTCTCTGGTTACTGTTTAACTTTAAAAAAAATGTAAGTTGACATTAAGCAGTATTTAAATGTAGCCTAGAGACTAGTTATACATAACTAGAAGTCTACTAATGTCTAGAAACTAATTTTTAATTAATTAGTTTTTAATTTGTAAAGTAGCGTCCCCGCATATGTTCCACTTTTTGGCTGAAAATTCCTCTTTTGAGGCATGACTGTTCCATGACTGTTCCTACTTTTGGCTGACAGGGGTAGGCATGTCTGAGCTAAAGAAAATGTTATTTGTTGAAAGAGTGATAACAGATGAACACTGTGTACCTCTCTATTTTACTATTTTCCATCATTTGATAAAAGTTGTTGACAGTTGTGAAAAAAATATTGGAGAAGTGGTTTGGGCTGAAGACCAAACTTTTTGAAGCCATTCATTGTGTGGCTGTGGAGCTACTAATGAGGATATGGGTTGGGCTAAAAATTTGGCTGGTTAAAGTGACATCATTTATGTATGACTGCTTGGCTGCACCTTATATATAACTTAATAAATGTTGTTCTTTATAGTATTATCTCTAGCAGAGGTGTAACTTTACAGTTGTTACGGAACTCTGCTTTTTTAAAAAAATAATAAACGTCAGAAAGCTTTTACAGCGACCTAGACTATTTGTTTCTCTTTCTATTTTGTATTGACAAAAATAAAAGGCGACTTGATTTGAAAGTTTATAAAGTATGAAAGAGAAATGTGCTGAGAAAAACACTGTTTTACCCCAGCCACTTTTCATGGTCACACTTGAGCACATTCTACAAGTGCTTTTTTAAAAATAGAACATTAATATCAATTTAAAATAAAGAAACTCTATCTGCTTCTTTATTTTTTGAAGGCTTACTATGTTGTGGTTACACAAGCGAACAGGGCCTAAATCAATTGGTTCTTAAGTTAGAAAACCTTGAAAAACCCAGAATTTTTTTGCACCCTTACTCCCCCTTTTGGCTTTTTCTTAGGAAGTCAGTTACATCTCTGTATTGTACATTTGGCTATACAGTCTCTCTGTATTGTACATTTGGCTATACAGTCTATTTAATAGAGGTACTCTAAATAGTACAACAAAAATTGGAAGATTGTGTACCTAATGTTGTTTCCTTGAATAATACTATTAACACTTGCAATGTACGTGGCTAGTAGAGAATGCAGATTTTCAAATTTGAAATTCATTAAAACTTAAAGCAGACTAGGTTTTGAAACTGAAAATGAAGCAAGTAGAAAAACTTTTTGCGAGGAAGTAAGGCACCAAAAAGTTTTGTTGTCTACCTGTGACGCTTATTCAATTGATAATAAATTAACTCGTCACTTTATATTTATTGTATTCTTATACATCTTATTTTTAAAATTAATTTGTGTGAAATGGAGCGTGAAATAAGTTTTGCCTATGGCACCCTGGTGCTGGCACTGTACAGAAAAAGTTTTCTTTCTGCTTAGTGATGTTTTGTTTCATGTGCAAGGAAAAGAATTTTTGTTGGGACCCCATTTCTATTATGTGTTTTTATGAATATATATTGTTCAAATACATCCAAGCACCTAAGGGTACAGTTCAATTTTAAATATCTAGACATCTATTTTCAGATATCACTTTTTTCTACAAGTCAAGCAATTTTAAATATCTAGACATCTATTTTCAGATATCACTTTTTTCTACAAGTCAAGCAATTTTAAATATCTAGACATCTATTTTCAGATATCACTTTTTTCTACAAGTCAAGCAATTTTAAATATCTAGACATCTATTTTCAGATATCACTTTTTTCTACAAGTCAAGCAATTTTAAATATCTAGACATCTATTTTCAGATATCACTTTTTTCTACAAGTCAAGCAATTTTAAATATCTAGACATCTATTTTCAGATATCACTTTTTTCTACAAGTCAAGCAATTTTAAATATCTAGACATCTATTTTCAGATATCACTTTTTTCTACAAGTCAAGCAATTTTAAATATCTAGACATCTATTTTCAGATATCACTTTTTTCTACAAGTCAAGCAATTTTAAATATCTAGACATCTATTTTCAGATATCACTTTTTTCTACAAGTCAAGCAATTTTAAATATCTAGACATCTATTTTCAGATATCACTTTTTTCTACAAGTCAAGCAATTTTAAATATCTAGACATCTATTTTCAGATATCACTTTTTTCTACAAGTCAAGCAATTTTAAATATCTAGACATCTATTTTCAGATATCACTTTTTTCTACAAGTCAAGCAATTTTAAATATCTAGACATCTATTTTCAGATATCACTTTTTTCTACAAGTCAAGCAATTTTAAATATCTAGACATCTATTTTCAGATATCACTTTTTTCTACAATTCAAGCAATTTTAAATATCTAGACATCTATTTTCAGATATCACTTTTTTCTACAAGTCAAGCAATTTTAAATATCTAGACATCTATTTTCAGATATCACTTTTTTCTACAAGTCAAGCAATTTTAAATATCTAAACATCTATTTTTAGATATCACTTTTTTCTACAAGTCAAGCAATTTTAAATATCTAGACATCTATTTTCAGATATCACTTTTTTCTACAAGTCAAGCAATTTTAAATATCTAGACATCTATTTTCAGATATCACTTTTTTCTACAAGTCAAGCAATTTTAAATATCTAGACATCTATTTTCAGATATCACTTTTTTCTACAAGTCAAGCGAGATATCTTATCAGGGAAATTGGTATGTCCTGATCAAATAGCTGTGCTGCTGGCAAGTTATGCTGTACAGTGTAAGTTGGTGCTCAACATTTCTTTGCTGTTGTTCAAAATGTTGAATCAAACCTAATTTTTCTGGTGTTTTTTTTACCAGCGGAATTAGGAGACTTTAACATTGAGGAACACAAGGATGGATATTTGAGTGGATTTCTATTCATACCAAACCAGTCTGAAGAGTTTGAAAAACAGGTTGCTGAAAAACATAAGCATCACAGGTAAATATTAAAACAAGCATGAGGTCAATCTTAACAGGGATGTCATTTTTCAGATTTTTAGCAGAAATCCGATTTTTCCGTTACAACTGCAATTTTCCTCAGCTGATTTCATATTCTACAAATTTTTTCGCTGATTTTTATATGTGCCGATTTTATACGAAGTTTTAAAAATTAGGAAAATGACCTCATTCTATATATTCCTATTTAAATGAAGTATTTCAGCACATAGGTCAAACGGACAATTGAATATGTTAGTCTTGAGTTCAAACTCTCGGCAGATGAGGCTTGTTAGCTGGGGATAGCCACTCTTTTAGAAGAGACAACTCCAAAATCAAACAACTGCTGCCTTGTAGTTTGTTCTTGGTTGGACAAAGGCTATGGAAGCAAATCCAAAAAGAAGAGCAGGCTGAAATCAATGGCACATAACCAGATGACATGTATACTTAATTGTGTTGGAAGGGATCCCTTTCAACACTGAAATTAAGAGCGAAGAAGAAAAGTCTAAATTTTATGCTGATATTTTCAGTTCAATATTTATCAAAATTGTGGTCAGTTATTTAAAGCTATTAATTAGAAACGGTGTGAGACTGCTTTTATTGCGATAAAAAAAAATTAAAAATAAATAAAATGGAGTTCTTGTCCAAAAAAAATTTCCTAATTTTTTTCATGGTCTGGTCACATCCCTGATCTAAAACACAAGCACCACAGGTAAACCTAAACACAAGCACCACAGGTAAATCTAAAATACAAGCACCACAGGTAAATCTAAAATACAAGCACCACAGGTAAAAACACAAGCACCACAGGTAAACCTAAAACACAAGCACCACAGGTAAAAACACAAGCACCACAGGTAAACCTAAAACACAAGCACCACAGGTAAACCTAAAATACAAGCACCACAGGTAAATCTAAAATACAAGCACCACAGGTAAAAACACAAGCACCACAGGTAAACCTAAAACACAAGCACCACAGGTAAAAACACAAGCACCACAGGTAAAAGCACAAGCACCACAGGTAAATCTAAAACACAAGCACCACAGGTAAAAACACAAGCACCACAGGTAAAAACACAAGCACCACAGGTAAAAACACAAGCACTATAGGTAAACCTAAAACACAAGCACCACAGGTAAACCTAAAACACCAGCACCACAGGTAAAAACATAAGCACCACAGGTAAAAACACAAGCACCACAGGTAAAAACACAAGCACCACATGTAAAAACACAAGCACCACAGGTAAAAACACAAGCACCACAGGTAAAAACACAAGCACCACAGGTAAACCTAAAACACAAGCACCACAGGTAAAAACATAAGCACCACAGGTAAAAACACAAGCACCACAGGTAAAAACACAAGCACCACAGGTAAACCTAAAACACAAGCACCACAGGTAAAAACATAAGCACCACAGGTAAAAACACAAGCACCACAGGTAAAAACACAAGCACCACAGGTAAAAGCACAAGCACCACAGGTAAAAACACAAGCACCACAGGTAAAAACACAAGCACCACAGGTAAACCTAAAACACAAGCACCACAGGTAAAAACACAAGCACCACAGGTAAACCTAAAACACAAGCACCACAGGTAAACCTAAAACACAAGCACCACAGGTAAAAACACAAGCACCACAGGTAAAAACACAAGCACCACAGGTAAATCTAACACACAAGCACCACAGGTAAACCTAAAACACAAGCACCACAGGTAAAAACATAAGCACCACAGGTAAAAACACAAGCACCACAGGTAAAAACACAAGCACCACAGGTAAAAGCACAAGCACCACAGGTAAAAACACAAGCACCACAGGTAAAAACACAAGCACCACAGGTAAACCTAAAACACAAGCACCACAGGTAAAAACACAAGCACCACAGGTAAACCTAAAACACAAGCACCTCAGGTAAAAACACAAGCACCACAGATAAACCTAAAACACAAGCACCACAGGTAAAAACACAAGCACCACAGGTAAACCTAAAACACAAGCACCTCAGGTAAAAACACAAGCACCACAGATAAACCTAAAACACAAGCACCACAGGTAAAAACACAAGCACCTCAGGTAAAAACACAAGCACCACAGATAAACCTAAAACACAAGCACCACAGGTAAAAACACAAGCACCACAGGTAAAAACACAAGCACCACAGGTAAAAACACAAGCACCACAGGTAAACCTAAAACACAAGCACCACAGGTAAACCTAAAACACCAGCACCACAGGTAAAAACATAAGCACCACATGTAAAAACACAAGCACCACAGGTAAACCTAAAACACAAGCACCACAGGTAAAAACACAAGCACCACAGGTAAACCTAAAACACAAGCACCACAGGTAAATCTAAAACACAAGCACCACAGGTAAAAACACAAGCACCACAGGTAAACCTAAAACACAAGCACCACAGGTAAAAACACAAGCACCACAGGTAAACCTAAAACACAAGCACCACAGGTAAATCTAAAACACAAGCACCACAGGTAAAAACACAAGCACCACAGGTAAATCTAAAACACAAGCACCACAGGTAAAAACACAAGCACCACAGATAAACCTAAAACACAAGCACCACAGGTAAAAACACAAGCACCACAGGTAAACCTAAAACACAAGCACCTCAGGTAAAAACACAAGCACCACAGGTAAAAACATAAGCACCACAGGTAAAAACACAAGCACCACAGATAAACCTAAAACACAAGCACCACAGGTAAAAACACAAGCACCTCAGGTAAAAACACAAGCACCACAGATAAACCTAAAACACAAGCACCACAGGTAAAAACAAGCACCACAGGTAAACCTAAAACACAAGCACCACAGGTAAAAACACAAGCACCACAGGTAAACCTAAAACACAAGCACCACAGGTAAAAACACAAGCACCACAGGTAAACCTAAAACACAAGCACCACAGGTAAATCTAAAACACAAGCACCACAGGTAAAAACACAAGCACCACAGGAAAAAAAAACAAGCACTGTGAGTGTACCGCAATTCAACCATGCATACAAAGAATGACTTCACAAGTTGTAAATATACTCTTCAAAGCTTATTAATATCTAAAAGCTTGGTTGATTTTCACAGGTATTATTTCACAGGTATTATTTCACAGGTGTTATTATTTTTTTCCCTGAGACTTCTATCACCCAGACAACTCTATTGAGATTTAAGCTGGGCTTATTTAGATAAGCAATATTTCTTTCCAGTCTTTCTTCCAGACTTTTTTCTCCAAGGGGGCTGTAGACTTTCATTGGGGGGAGGGAGGAGGGGGACAGAGCCCCCATCCCGTCCCGTCCCATCCCCATCCCCTCTCCGAAGAGATGCCTGGAAGAAACTCTGTTTCTTTCTTCTTATACCTAGACTCTACAACACCTAGACTGAACTAAACTTCCTACTCAACAAGCTAGATGAAACAACTTCTCACTTGAATCACCTAGTCAGAATTCAACTAAAACAAATGTATGCAGCAACACAAAATGTCACTTATTTATCAAGTCATGATTATATTCATTTATTAGCACTAAATGCACTCATATACACACCTCATAACATCAAGTACATTTAAAAACACAAGCACCACAATGAAATCTGGTAACTCAAGTTATGATTGGATCTTGCTTTATTTATTTCTTGACTGTTCTATTTTTTTCTAATGTCTTGTCACAGGGGCCAGACACCAGCTGATGCAGAATCTCAGTTTTTAGAGAAAGCCAAAAGATTAGAAATGTATGGTGTTGACTTACATAATGCCAGGGTAGGTCTGTTCATTGTTACCTTTTCACCAGGGTATGTCTGTTCATTGTTACCTTTGCACCAGGGTATGTCTGTTCATTGTTACCTTTGCACCAGGGTATGTCTGTTCATTGTTACCTTTGCACCAGGGTATGTCTGTTCATTGTTACCTTTTCACCAGGGTATGTCTGTTCATTGTTACCTTTGCACCAGGGTATGTCTGTTCATTGTTACCTTTGCACCAGGGTATGTCTGTTCATTGTTACCTTTTCACCAGGGTATGTCTGTTCATTGTTACCTTTGCACCAGGGTATGTCTGTTCATTGTTACCTTTGCACCAGGGTATGTCTGTTCATTGTTACCTTTGCACCAGGGTATGTCTGTTCATTGTTACCTTTGCACCAGGGTATGTCTATTCATTGTTACCTTTGCACCAGGGTATGTCTGTTCATTGTTACCTTTGCACCAGGTTATGTCTGTTCATTGTTACCTTTGCACCAGGGTATGTCTGTTCATCGTTACCTTTGCACCAGGGTATGTCTGTTCATTGTTACCTTTGCACCAGGGTATGTCTGTTCATTGTTACCTTTGCACCAGGGTATGTCTGTTCATTGTTACCTTTGCACCAGGGTATGTCTGTTCATTGTTACCTTTGCACCAGGGTATGTCTGTTCATTGTTACCTGTGCACCAGGGTATTCTGTTCATTGTTACCTGTGCACCAGGGTATGTCTGTTCATTGTTACCTTTGCACCAGGGTATGTCTGTTCATTGTTACCTGTGCACCAGGGTATTCTGTTCATTGTTACCTTTGCACCAGGGTATGTCTGTTCATTGTTACCTTTGCACCAGGGTATGTCTGTTCATTGTTACCTTTGCACCAGGGTATGTGTTGTCATATTTACTGTTACACTTGTACCAAGTAGGTCTGCTCATTGTAACCATTGTCAATCTGGCATATTAGCTTTGAAAAATGCTCTAGTATTGTGCATATCTTAGTATGTCCTAATGCATAGTGTGATGCACTTTAGAAGTTTAAAGCAAATTTAGTCAGCAACAGTAACGTTTATGACGTCATACCGTACCTGTCCATCATTTTGCCATGAAGAAATGGTGACGTCAAATCAAACCCAAAAGATGGGTCTGATTAGATCACAATGAACAGTAGCCCACCACATCCTTAATGTATCATAGTTTTCAAAATGAATAGATAGATATTTCCTCATTTCAAAAACTGACTCACCAGAAGGGGTAGTTTTGGTGTAACTTTTAAAACAAATAATTTAAAACAACCACTTAAATTTATTAAAAATATTGTAAAAAGCATTATTATGCACACAATGGGGCTGAGTTTATTTTATAGGAGGTAAAATAACAAAATAGTTTTTTGATAATAAATAAAAATTTCAATAACCTTCAAAAAACGTAAACAAAACGCTAATGCGAGTATTATTATGCGGTGTGACTTTTCCAGTTTTTAGCGTAAATCTATTTTTTTCCATTTCAGCTGCAATTTTCCTCTGCTATTTTCACTTTCTCATAATTTTTCAGCCAATTTCCGATTTTTGTCCATTTTTTACATTTTAAAAATTCGGGAAAAAAACCCAGCTGGATTAAGGTCAAGATTCAGAATTTTAGTAGATTTCCTAATTTTTCAGAATGCAAATTTTCCACTATTTTTAGTTAAATAGTTATCAAAAACATGGGAAAAAGTTAGCCTGGTTTGGTTTCTTGGTCGTCTAGCTAAAGCCTTATTTTGTCTACCGGTACTTTAACTTGCCCAAATCTTCAGTTTCTCTCTGCTTCTAATTCAATTTTTTTTGGCAATCTCAAATTACTATTGAAATCCTTGCAAAAGGTGACTATGGGGACTAGACTAACCCGCCCCTGCTTGTAGCAACGTGGCTCTTGTGACCTAACCTTGACTGCCGGAGTGTAACCGGGGGCTCCTGAGTGTGCCCCTCTACATCCCTGACACCTGGATGGTTGCCAAAGTGTGTTCTACCTCACTATTATAGAGGCTATCATACACCAGTTCTACCTCACTATTATAGAGGCTATCATATAACCCTGCCAAAGTGTGTTCTACCTCACTATTATAGAGGCTATCATACACCAGTTCTACCTCACTATTATAGAGGCTATCATACACCTGCCAAAGTGTGTTCTACCTCACTATTATAGAGGCTATCATACACCAGTTCTACCTCACTATTATAGAGGCTATCATACACCAGTTCTACCTCACTATTATAGAGGCTATCATACACCTGCCAAAGTGTGTTCTACCTCACTATTATAGAGGCTATCATACACCAGTTCTATCTCACTATTTTAGAGGCTTTCATACACCAGTTCTACCTCACTATTATAGAGGCTATCATACACCTGCCAAAGTGTGTTCTACCTCACTATTATAGAGGCTTTCATACACCAGTTCTACCTCACTATTATAGAGGCTATCATACACCTGCCAAAGTGTGTTCTACCTCACTATTATAGAGGCATTCATACACCAGTTCTACCTCACTATTATAGAGGCTATCATACACCAGTTCTACCTCACTATTATAGAGGCTATCATACACCTGCCAAAGTGTGTTCTACCTCACTATTATAGAGGCTATCATACACCAGTTCTACCTTACTATTATAGAGGCTATCATACACCTGCCAAAGTGTGTTCTACCTCACTATTATAGAGGCTATCATACACCAGTTCTACCTCACTATTATAGAGACTATCATACACCAGTTCTACCTCACTATTATAGAGGCTATCATACACCTGCCAAAGTGTGTTCTACCTCACTATTATAGAGGCTATCATACACCAGTTCTACCTCACTATTATAGAGGCTATCATACACCAGTTCTACCTCACTATTATAGAGGCTATCATACACCAGTTCTACCTCACTTTTATAGAGGCTATCATACACCAGTTCTACCTCACTATTATAGAGGCTATCATACACCAGTTCTATCTCACTATTATAGAGGCTATCATACACCTGCCAAAGTGTGTTCTACCTCACTATTATAGAGGCTATCATACACCAGTTCTATCTCACTATTATAGAGGCTATCATACACCTGTTCTACCTCACTATTATAGAGGCTATCATACACCTGTTCTACCTCACTATTATAGAGGCTATCATACACCTGCCAAAGTGTGTTCTACCTCACTATTATAGAGGCTATCATACACCTGTTCTACCTCACTATTATAGAGGCTATCATACACCAGTTCTACCTCACTATTATAGAGGCTATCATACACCTGCCAAAGTGTGTTCTACCTCACTATTATAGAGGCTATCATACACCAGTTCTACCTCACTATTATAGAGGCTATCATACACCAGTTCTACCTCACTATTATAGAGGCTATCATACACCAGTTCTACCTCACTATTATAGAGGCTATCATACACCTGCCAAAGTGTGTTCTACCTCACTATTATAGAGGCTATCATACACCAGTTCTATCTCACTATTATAGAGGCTATCATACACCTGTTCTACCTCACTATTATAGAGGCTATCATACACCTGTTCTACCTCACTATTATAGAGGCTATCATACACCTGCCAAAGTGTGTTCTACCTCACTATTATAGAGGCTATCATACACCTGTTCTACCTCACTATTATAGAGGCTATCATACACCAGTTCTACCTCACTATTATAGAGGCTATCATACACCAGTTCTACCTCACTATTATAGAGGCTATCATACACCAGTTCTACCTCACTATTATAGAGGCTATCATACACCAGTTCTACCTCACTATTATAGAGGCTATCATACACCTGCCAAAGTGTGTTCTACCTCACTATTATAGAGGCTATCATACACCAGTTCTACCTCACTATTATAGAGGCTATCATACACCAGTTCTACCTCACTATTATAGAGGCTATCATACACCTGCCAAAGTGTGTTCTACCTCACTATTATAGAGGCTATCATACACCAGTTCTACCTCACTATTATAGAGGCTATCATACACCTGTTCTACCTCACTATTATAGAGGCTATCATACACCTGCCAAAGTGTGTTCTACCTCACTATTATAGAGGCTATCATACACCAGTTCTACCTCACTATTATAGAGGCTATCATACACCTGTTCTACCTCACTATTATAGAGGCTATCATACACCTGCCAAAGTGTGTTCTACCTCACTATTATAGAGGCTATCATACACCAGTTCTACCTCACTATTATAGAGGCTATCATACACCTGTTCTACCTCACTATTATAGAGGCTATCATACACCTGCCAAAGTGTGTTCTACCTCACTATTATAGAGGCTATCATACACCAGTTCTACCTCACTATTATAGAGGCTATCATACACCTGTTCTACCTCACTATTATAGAGGCTATCATACACCTGCCAAAGTGTGTTCTACCTCACTATTATAGAGGCTATCATACACCAGTTCTACCTCACTATTATAGAGGCTATCATACACCAGTTCTACCTCACTATTATAGAGGCTATCATACACCTGTTCTACCTCACTATTATAGAGGCTATCATACACCTGCCAAAGTGTGTTCTACCTCACTATTATAGAGGCTATCATACACCAGTTCTACCTCACTATTATAGAGGCTATCATACACCTGTTCTACCTCACTATTATAGAGGCTATCATACACCTGCCAAAGTGTGTTCTACCTCACTATTATAGAGGCTATCATACACCAGTTCTACCTCACTATTATAGAGGCTATCATACACCAGTTCTACCTCACTATTATAGAGGCTATCATACACCAGTTCTACCTCACTATTATAGAGGCTATCATACACCTGCCAAAGTGTGTTCTACCTCACTATTATAGAGGCTATCATACACCAGTTCTACCTCACTATTATAGAGGCTATCATACACCAGTTCTACCTCACTATTATAGAGGCTATCATACACCAGTTCTACCTCACTATTATAGAGGCTATCATACACCAGTTCTACCTCACTATTATAGAGGCTATCATACACCAGTTCTACCTCACTATTATAGAGGCTATCATACACCAGTTCTACCTCACTATTATAGAGGCTTTCATACACCAGTTCTACCTCACTATTATAGAGGCTATCATACACCAGTTCTACCTCACTATTATAGAGGCTTTCATACACCAGTTCTACCTCACTATTATAGAGGCTATCATACACCAGTTCTACCTCACTATTATAGAGGCTTTCATACACCAGTTCTACCTCACTATTATAGAGGCTATCATACACCAGTTCTACCTCACTATTATAGAGGCTATCATACACCAGTTCTACCTCACTATTATAGAGGCTATCATACACCAGTTTTACCTCACTATTATAGAGGCTATCATACACCTGCCAAAGTGTGTTCTACCTCACTATTATAGAGGCTATCATACACCAGTTCTACCTCACTATTATAGAGGCTATCATACACCAGTTCTACCTCACTATTATAGAGGCTATCATACACCAGTTCTACCTCACTATTATAGAGGCTATCATACACCAGTTCTACCTCACTATTATAGAGGCTATCATACACCAGTTCTACCTCACTATTATAGAGGCTATCATACACCAGTTCTACCTCACTATTATAGAGGCTTTCATACACCAGTTCTACCTCACTATTATAGAGGCTATCATACACCAGTTCTACCTCACTATTATAGAGGCTTTCATACACCAGTTCTACCTCACTATTATAGAGGCTATCATACACCAGTTCTACCTCACTATTATAGAGGCTTTCATACACCAGTTCTACCTCACTATTATAGAGGCTATCATACACCAGTTCTACCTCACTATTATAGAGGCTATCATACACCAGTTCTACCTCACTATTATAGAGGCTATCATACACCAGTTCTACCTCACTATTATAGAGGCTATCATACGTGCCAAAGTGTGGTGTATGAAATACTCTCTAGCTTTTGAGCTTTTGGGTCAGGTAACCTAAGGCTAGACACCACAGATGAAATTATTTTTTTATTAAATGCGTTTCACAGTGTTTATTAAATTAATATGTTAATAGTTGTGTTAATAGTTGTTACCTATAGACAAAAATAATATATAACCACCTATAGAAGTACTGGTTGCCATGGAAATCATGAAAAGGTGTGAAAACTAACATCTTTTTAAACCTTTTCAAACCTTGTTCCCAAAACAGATTTTTAAAATCTGATAAAAGATGTAGATTTCTCAAACCAAGCTATACAGTTCTATGTTTATTCATTGCAATAGCTCTTATTCAATTTTTAATACAAATTTTTATGTACATTAATTAGGGTGTGGTTCTACATAAAATTCAATATTTTCTAAAGTATTGCAGTAAACTTAATGTACAAAGATAGTTTTGTAGATGGTATAATGCTGAATGCATGTGGAAAGATTCAGTATGTATGTCAATGAGTTCCAGAGCCTTGTGATTTTATTTTGAATTTTGCGTAAAAATGCAGTTGAGAAAATTTGAAAAGAAGGGTGGAAAATGTCACTGTGCGGTTCCTCTTACAGAAAATAATTTAAGACATCTTGTTTTATGTGGAAGAGCCATTTGACTCAAAAAATACGTTGATTTTTGTTGTATGTTTCACATAAATTTTTTTTTTATTTAAGCTGAAACAATTTATACAAGAAGAATTTATTTTAAGAGCAACTATTAATTGATCAGATTAAGTTTGTTAGCCGGTCTTTTCACTTCATTACAATGTCTATCCCTACTTGAATTGTAGCTCACACAAGTTTATTGCAGCTGGGTACAGCCTTGAGGCTAGACATGCCCCCTCCCCCCACTCTGCTTCTCCCCACTGCTGAATGGTGCTGATGAGCCATAGGTTACCAATGTTCATTCAGCCATGTAGATAGGATCAAGCTCTATGTTTCTGTACAGGGCCTAATCGAATCCCTACTAGTATTTACATTAGTTGCTAGTAAACCCTACATGGAGCAAAGGGCATACACATGAAGACATTTGTTGTTTACTGTCCGATGTAGAGTCTGATGAACCTGTTCAAGCCTATCATATAATGTTTTAACAGGATTATAATCTGGCTGTTGGTTAAATAGCGAGAAGGGGATGAAGGGATGGACTTGCTTCATTCTTCAAAATGACAGACATGTCATGACGCATCGTTTCATCTGAGTATAAAACATACTTAACAGTGTTTAATAGCATTCCAATGCCAATCAACAGTACATTTCATAGCAAAGTTTCAAATATTGAGCTAAATGTTGATGTATAATTTTAAAACAACAAATAAAAGAGTATGTGCAAATAAAGTAAATAAACTAAGTATAATTTTAAAACAAATAAAAGAGTATATGCAAATAAAGTAAATAAACTAAGTATAATTTTAAAACAACAAATAAAAGAGTATATGCAAATAAAGTAAATAAACTAAGTATAATTTTAAAACAACAAATAAAAGAGTATATGCAAATAAAGTAAATAAACTTAGTATAATTTTAAAACAACAAATAAAAGAGTATATGCAAATAAAGTAAATAAACTAAGTATAATTTTAAAACAACAAATAAAAGAGTATATGCAAATAAAGTAAATAAACTTAGTATAATTTTAAAACAACAAATAAAAGAGTATACGCAAATAAAGTAAATAAACTAAGTATAATTTTAAAACAACAAATAAAAGAGTATATGCAAATAAAGTAAATAAACTAAGTATAATTTTAAAACAACAAATAAAAGAGTATATGCAAATAAAGTAAATAAACTTAGTATAATTTTAAAACAACAAATAAAAGAGTATATGCAAATAAAGTAAATAAACTAAGTATAATTTTAAAACAACAAATAAAAGAGTATATGCAAATAAAGTAAATAAACTTAGTATAATTTTAAAACAACAAATAAAAGAGTATACGCAAATAAAGTAAATAAACTAAGTATAATTTTAAAACAACAAATAAAAGAGTATATGCAAATAAAGTAAATAAACTAAGTATAATTTTAAAACAACAAATAAAAGAGTATATGCAAATAAAGTAAATAAATTAAGTATAATTTTAAAACAACAAATAAAAGAGTATATGCAAATAAAGTAAATAAACTAAGTATAATTTTAAAACAACAAATAAAAGAGTATATGCAAATAAAGTAAATAAACTAAGTATAATTTTAAAACAACAAATAAAAGAGTATATGCAAATAAAGTAAATAAACTAAGTATAATTTTAAAACAACAAATAAAAGAGTATATGCAAATAAAGTAAACAAAGGCAGGATGTTGTTTTGTTTATCTAGAAACAAGATGGCTACCTAGCCCACGTGATTAATTGCAATGTATCAGGAATTATTTTGATTTACTGTAACATGATTGGTCAATCGTATCAATTAATATCTTCCCTTTCATTATTTTTACACACATGCCCTTATATGGAGTTCGACCTCAAATTTTACTTTGGAGAAAATGGTTATCCCATTTATTTCTAGAACATAGGAAACGGTCACAACCTTGCTTTTTTACAAGTGTTAGCGGGCAATAATAGATTAAATACCCGCTCAAAGATAGCCTCTGTCCACACAGTAGTGTGAAAATTTGCCGGGGGTACCATGTTTCACATCACAATAAAAGAATAACTGTAGGTTGTAGAAGTCCGAAACGTTCGAGTTAGTTAGCTAAAAGGTGTTAGCACTGAATTATGGAAAAAAAATTTTATGAGCAAAAAGTCACTTTTATCAAAAACGTGTATCTTGTATCCTTTAAGTCATTTATTACTTTGCCCACAGGATCAAAGCAACATTGACATCCAGCTAGGTGTCACTTCTGCTGGACTAGTGGTCTTTCAAAAAAGTGTCAAAATCAATACTTTTTCATGGTAAGCCCAACTGGTTGAACTTTAATTTTAAATATATTTTAAATTTATTTAGCTTTGAGCCCATGGATATTTTAAATTAATTTAGCTTTTGAGCCCATGGATATTTTAAATTAATTTAGCTTTTGAGCCCATGGATATTTTAAATTTATTCACTTTTGAGCCCATGGATATTTTAAATTAATTTAGCTTTTGAGCCCATGGATATTTTAAATTAATTTAGCTTTTGAGCCCATGGATATTTTAAATTTATTTAGCTTTGAACCCATGGATATTTTAAATTTATTTAGCTTTGAGCCCATGAATATTTTAAATTAATTTAGTTTTTGAGCCCATGGATATTTTAAATTTATTCACTTTTGAGCCCATGGATATTTTAAATTAATTTAGCTTTTGAGCCCATGGATATTTTAAATTAATTTAGCTTTTGATCCCATGGATATTTTAAATTTATTTAGCTTTGAGCCCATGGATATTTTAAATTTATTTAGCTTTGAGCCCATGGATATTTTAAATTAATTTAGCTTTTGAGCCCATGGATATTTTAAATTAATTTAGCTTTTGAGCCCATGGATATTTTAAATTAATTTAGCTTTTGAGCCCATGGATATTTTAAATTAATTTAGCTTTTGAGCCCATGGATATTTTAAATTTATTCACTTTTGAGCCCATGGATATTTTAAATTAATTTAGCTTTTGAGCCCATGGATATTTTAAATTAATTTAGCTTTTGAGCCCATGGATATTTTAAATTTATTTAGCTTTGAGCCCATGGATATTTTAAGTTAATTCACTTTTGAGCCCATGGATATTTTAAATTAATTTAGCTTTTGAGCCCATGGATATTTTAAATTAATTTAGCTTTTGAGCCCATGGATATTTTAAATAAATTTATCTTTTGAGCCCATGGATATTTTTAATTAATTTAGCTTTTGAACCCATGGATATTTTAAATTAATTTAGCTTTTGAGCCCATGGATATTTTAAATTAATTTAGCTTTTGAGCCCATGGATATTTTAAATTAATTTAGCTTTTGAGCCCATGGATATTTTAAATTAATTTAGCTTTTGAGCCCATGGATATTTTAAATTAATTTAGCTTTTGAGCCCATGGATATTTTAAATTTATTCACTTTTGAGCCCATGGATATTTTAAATTAATTTAGCTTTTGAGCCCATGGATATTTTAAATTAATTCATTTTTGAGCCCATGGATATTTTAAATTAATTCATTTTTGAGCCCATGGATATTTTAAGTTAATTCACTTTTGAGCCCATGGATATTTTAAGTTAATTCACTTTTGAGCCCATGGATATTTTAAATTAATTCACTTTTGAGCCCATGGATATTTTAAATTAATTTAGCTTTTGAGCCCATGGATATTTTAAATTTTTTTAGCTTTGAGCCCATGGATATTTTAAATTAATTCATTTTTGAGCCCATGGATATTTTAAATTAATTCATTTTTGAGCCCATGGATATTTTAAGTTAATTCACTTTTGAGCCCATGGATATTTCAAGTTAATTCACTTTTGAGCCCATGGATATTTCTATCGGAGCTGACAGACATGAGAGCAGTTGTTAAGTCTTTGAACAAAATGCTTTGAACTAAAGGAGCTCGTCAGATGGACATTTTTTTCTTTTAACTTTTTTCCCCTTTTTAAAGGGAGTAGTTAGCTCTTCACTGCTATGTACAATATATATACATACTTAATAGGTTAAACATTGTATTTTCCCAACACTGTGTTGGTTTCATATACTGGGCTGCCAGCTTGAAAGATTTTGCCTGAAATTTTTTCAATTAAACTTCTCTGAGAAGGGGGAGGTTTGTGTAATTTTAACAACCACAATAAAAAAAAATGTATTCTTGAAACTAAATTTTGATAGAAGGCAAAATTTAGTTTCAAGAATACATTTTTTTTATTGTGGTTGTTAAAATTACACAAACCTCCCCCTCCATTTCTACACCTCCCGCCATTTAAACATCTCCCCCATTTAAACACCTCCCCCACCCCTGCAACACCCCCCCCTCACCTACCCAATGCTTCCCCCTCTATTTTAACACCTCCCCCACCCTTTCTCTCCTATTTTGATAGAAAAATATAATTACCTCTTCATTGGACTTGAGAGTGTGCACAATGATTCTTATCAACTACATATAATCTATATTTATTTTTATGAGCCTTTTAAAGTGTTTTCTTTCATTTTATTTAATTATAATATATTAAATTTTGAATGGCAAAAAAAAAATCACCATAAGTTAAATGTTGAAAAGAAAAATTATTATATACTAGCGTACCCGTCCCCGCACGTTGCCGCGGAAATAGAAGAAAGTCCGATGAAATATGTAAGAAGGGTTTCATCCAAGCGTTACCAATCCTATATTCTTAGTTTTCTAAAAGTGAGTGAATTAAATGTGTCAGAGATGTAGAGGGGCGCTATCAGGAGCCCCCCCACCCCCTCAATTACACTACAGCATAGGCGCAGCGTACGGCCCATGGCTCCTTAAAACTAACAGGCACCATCGTGCTCATAGGATAACCCAGCGTGCCAAATAGCATCCTGTTAACAATGATGCAGATTTCGCCATTTGCTAAAGTGACAGGATTTTTTTCTTTAACACGTAAAAAAATTTATTTGACGCGTTTGAAACATCAGTGTGACTGATGCAATATGTTAGCGGTACTAATGGTCTATTATTAGATGCTCGATCTGAATTTCTGATTGGATTGTATAAAAATAAATGCTAATTGCATCATTCCCAAAGTGACGAAACTGTTTGGATTTTTTTACGGACAAAAAGAAACATCCCAGTTAATAATCTAACATTGGTTATTTTTCTGATTATTAAAATAAAACACATTACACGGCCCTCAGCGGCCCTTGGGGGCCGAAACAGAAATTTTTATTTGCAGCCAAATCGCACCCTACCAGGGCACTGGCGGACATGCCTGATTCAATTTAGTAAGCGTTTGTAACGCCCCATCCTTTCTATTGTCTATTACACTGTTTAGACCAAACGTAGTCGCCATGGCGCTCGTGGGAAAGACCAGGGCGCCAAATCACATCCTGCCGGGGGTCTGCCCATGCAAAATTTTTATATACCGTACATAGAGAAAAATCACACCCTCCCGTTGCACCACCCTTGCGAAATTAAAAACGATTTTTTTATAGAACCCTTCCCTAGAGTGTTATAATGAACTCACCAAAGTCTCATGCCTATCGGATGAATAGTGTCAAACCAAAATTGACTTTTATTTTTATATACTGCATATAGAGAAAAAACAAATTGCGCCCTGTCGTGGCGTCACCCCTGCAAATTAGAATATTTTTTCTGCAGAAACCTCCCCAGAAATATCCACAACAACTTCCCAAAGTTTCATGCCGATGTGATGTAGTAATATATAAAAGACAAACACAAACACACATACATTGTTTTTTATATATATAGTTTACTAACTTCCCAATTCCATAGAGCTGCCATCTGATAAGAAAATAATTTAATTCAATATGAGTGTTTAGCTACAAAAATAATTTAATTCAATATGAGTGTTTAGCTACAAAAATAATTTAATTCAATATGAGTGTTTAGCTACAAAAATAATTTATCCATTGGGAGTAATTTTCTAGACCTGACAATAATCCATTGTAAAGTCATGAGCAATAGCTTGACAATAACAATGTGGACAGATTCTGTGCAGCTTATGAAAAGAATCCATTGAGGGTATAGAGGGAAAATTGCCTGCAGACTGTCATTATAAACTAGAAATCAGGAACATAACCTTGGTTGTAAACTGACTATCTTAGAAAAGGTACATTTAACAGAAGAGACCAAAAACTTATTATTTTATTCATATTTGTTGTTACTATAATACTTTCTGAAAAAATATGTAAGGAAACTTTTTACTTATAACGCTATAGCATTTAAAATACACTTTTATGATTTGACCAAAATATAGCAAATTTAAAAAGTTTGTTGTTTAGGGAGATGTCATTTCTCTTGCAGCCATGTAGACTTAATTTTTTTGGGTCCACTTAATCATTTTGTACTTTGATAGTATTTAGTGGCAATGTGTCCTGCAGGGGAGGGGTGGATTCCTGAACTAATCTTGTTAGGGTTAACAATGGGATATATTCTATTATTTTTCATATGGAATTATTACCTCTTGAACTTTGTATGTTTGTGAGTCAATGAAACTTCTGACAGCTCCCTTATTTAAAGTCTAACTTTTCATAGAAAAGTGAAGATGAGACTGATAAAAGATGAGAAAGTTTAAATAGAGTGTCTGGTAGCTGGAACATGCAACAGCTCTAATAGAGTGTCTGGTAGCTGGAACATGCAACAGCTCTAATAGAGTGTCTGTTAGCTGGAACATGCAACAGCTCTAATAGAGTGTCTGGTAGCTGGAACATGCAACAGCTCTAATAGAGTGTCTGGTAGCTGGAACATGCAACAGCTCTAATAGAGTGTCTGGTAGCTGGAACATGCAACAGCTCTAATAGAGTGTCTGGTAGCTGGAACATGCAACAGCTCTAATAGAGTGTCTGGTAGCTGGAACATGCAACAGCTCAGAGTGTCTGGTAGCTGGAACATGCAACAGCTCTAATAGAGTGTCTGGTAGCTGCAACATGCAACAGCTCTAATAGAGTGTCTGGTAGTTGGAACATGCAACAGCTCAGAGTGTCTGGTAGCTGGAACATGCAACAGCTCTAATAGAGTGTCTGGTAGCTGGAACATGCAACAGCTCTAATAGAGTGTCTGGTAGTTGGAACATGCAACAGCTCTAATAGAGTATCTGGTAGCTGGAACATGCAACAGCTCTAATAGAGTGTCTGGTAGTTGGAACATGCAACAGCTCAGAGTATCTGGTAGCTGGAACATGCAACAGCTCTAATAGAGTGTCTGGTAGCTGGAACATGCAACAGCTCTAATAGAGTGTCTGGTAGCTGGAACATGCAACAGCTCTAATAGAGTGTCTGGTAGCTGGAACATGCACCAGCT